TTGGACATGAAATTGATAATTTACAGTTATTTTTTAAAAAAATACCAATTCAATTTGTACCTTCTTGGGGTTGAGCAAGTAATCATATAAAGTCTTTTCCTCCCAGATCACAGCCATGTTCTTGTTTGCAGCTGAGTATGAATATCCCGGAGTTGTGCCGGACTGCCTTCCAAACAACCCATTTAGATTGGGTCCTGAAATTATCAACGAGTAGGAAAGCGAGCTATCACATTACAAAAGTCCATGAGGATATAATACAAGGAGGAATTCTATTTTAAACCTTCGCCAGAATAGAAGGATGCATACAACAAAAGAACGAATGCAAACACAAGACAAGAAAAAAAAAAATTCTGTTTTCCCAGGTCAACAAAAGAAATAGTTCCTGGTCCAGTTTCGTGTACTGTCTACAAATCAGGCCCTTAACTGTCTAAATCAAACTTAGATGATCTAAATTTAACATTTGGAAAAAAAAAAATTGAGATTCCAATAACTCAACATTCGACAGAAAAATAATTAGATCTGACCATCTTGATGACAAAGTCAAAGAGCAGAGGAAAAGCAGAGAGGCAAGCAATAGAGAATCCCAAACAAATAGTTCGACACAGGAGACCAGTGTTGTTGAATTGAATCGGTAACCCCATAATCCAGCTCCTGATCAATCCGGACACTTAACCGGACTACATTGGCAACCAAATCACTCAAAAACTACCAAAACTAACAGGTTAATTAAATTGCTCGTTTAAACCAATTACCATTTAATGGAAAGAGAGATAGATGCTTCGACAACATACACCCAGAAGGACTGGAAGAAAAGTGCCAAAAATCATCTTTCGTGAGCTTTTTTAAAAAGCAGGAAGAATTTTGTCCGTTCGCAAGGCAAGGAACTAGGTCCTTCTTGCGATACATAAAAGAACATATTCCAATCATCACACTATCATGAAGCTAAAAATATTCAACCACTTTCAATTAATTGCGGACAATTCCCGTCAACCAAAAGTATTCAGCAAACTCGCAGGACCAAATAAAGTTATAACCGAAAACGAATTACCATTCTACGGCAGCCTTTCCTTTTTAAAAGTGAGAGACGAATTCATTCCTCACAAAACTTTACAACAAGCGAATCCGGCTTCCAGAATAACGAACCGAAATTGCAGAAATATACAAGAGGTAAAAAAAGAAAAGGACTTTACAATAAACTCGGAATTCTTTGTACATTCTCGTAAAAAGAATGTTATAACACACAGTAGTTCTTAAAATGAGCCCAGCCGAAAACTAGATCTTCAATTCTACCTAGATTAATCCGTAAATCAAACACAAAAAGAACCAAAACCCAGGATACGAATCTGGCATTCGGTTACTCCTAGATCTAGGTCTCAATCAAGACTAAAACTCAAGAAAACAGAAGCAACCATGAAGAAAACAGAGATTGCAACAAATATAACCCCAAAATCAGAATGGACCAGAGCAATGGATACGGGGGAGAATGATTACCTTGCTTGTGGCCAGCACCCTTGTCAACCGTGTGGCACTGGGCACACTTGGTTTTGAATATCTTCTCGCCAGTCTTGGGATTACCGGGAGGTGCCTCATCAAAAGATGCCATAGCCGGAGTTGGGCGGTGGCGAATCGAGAGAGAAGCCAAGGGACGGTGAAAGTTGTAGAAGAATAGAGAGAGCGAGACGAAAGAGGAATAATATAAAGGAGCGCACGGGAGAGGCAATTTTGGGGAAGGTGGGGTGGAGGTGGAAGGAACTAGAGAGGACGATGCCACGCTCCTTCAATGCCAGCCCTAAAATTCGTCTGTTATTCACGTGCCTCCTTTTTGGGCTTTGAACCCTTGGTCAAGCATGGACCAAACTTACAGGGGCCTGTTCGGTTTTGAAAGAAGGATAGAAGCGGAGGGTGGGGTTTTTAACCTCACTTTATTTGATTTCATAAAAAAAAAAAAGTTTAATGATCTCTTATTTAGTTTTAAAAACAAAAGATAATAACAATAAATTTATTATTTCATTCTTACATATTTGTCATATTAATATGCATATTTAAATATTGGTACGTTAGTTTTTTATTCTAATTAATAGAATAATATATTTTAAATAATCAAATTAACAAAAAAATAGATGCTCTAAAAAAAAGAAATTTTATTGTCTTTTAGTTATGTTTTTTCTTCCTAAGTTTAAAATTTAATTAAATTAATAAAATAATATATTTGTAAAATTTAATTAATTTTACAATATAATATTTTATTGTGATAATTTTTTGTTTTAAATTAATTTTTATCGTACTATATTTTTAAATTATAACAATATTTATTTTTTATTTTTTCTTATGATGATATATTTTTATTTGAAATAAATATTATAATAAAATATTTTATGGATATTAATGGAATGTTTTTAAAATATATGAGAGCAAAATGGTTTAGAATTTTGACTCACCTCTGAAAAAAAAAAAAAACTTTAATTTGGGAGAAGCCAAAATAGGGGTAGAGCTCCCTTCCAAAATTTCTAAGTAAATAAAGAGAGGAGCTCATTTTTCCTCCCCTCCAACCAAACACACCCGATTTAGTGTTTTTTTTTTCAAAAAAAATTCAGATTCTCAACATAAAGTTAATAACTAATTTATATATATAAATTATTTAAATTCTTTTGAAGAAAAAGAATTGATTGAAAAATACTTCTTTTTAATTATTTGCATATAGAACTCTTCTTTATCCAAACCATTCATATTAAAATTGGACAAATAGTTTTTTTTTTTTGGTCAAAAAATCGGATAAATAGTTCAATGTTTTAATGTGTACCTAATCTGAAATAAAAATTACAATCTTTTAACTGTTATTTTGTCAAAGAATAAATTTTTATTTAAAAATTATTAGTTGATAATTTTAAAATTAAAATTAAAACTAATTTTCTTTAATATGTGGTGGTTAACTTAAGAAAAAAGTACGTATATTTTGAAAACAAAATATATTAAAGTCTTTCATTTAGGATTAAAATAAAGTTATCAACCAGTTCTATATTTAGCAACGTAGCAAATAATATTATATCATATTAATATTAACATCAAATATTAATTACGAGTATAATTATAACCATATGCACACTTTTATGTTTTTGACTTCCTTCATTCCTCTGTTTTCCCCCCTACTTTTTAAATCTATCCCCAATTATTTTGCCCACAAAATCTCTCCCTAATTAAATGTACTAATGGTTAAATTATTTATTAGGATTTGGAGAAAAATTGAATGATTCAGGAGTATAGCTGAAAAGATCTTATACTTCCCACAATTAATGAAAAAGGTACTGTAAAGGGACAACGGCTATAGAAAAGTGGATATGAAAGAAGAAATTGTATATGAGACAGTTTACAAACTTTTAAAGTAATTAATAATGGTTTCTTAATTAAAATGCCTACAAAATTAGCAAATGATGGGTATTAACTGGGGGCAAAAAGAGGGGGACCGAAAAATATATGTAAAACATGAATTAATTAAAGCTGTTTTACCAACAGAGATGGAGTTCAACGGCAGAGACTAGTTTCTCAAAGTGTAATGAATTAAGGTTTGAATCTTTACTGGAAAAAGTGTCTTTTTCCAACAAGAAGATATAAAAAATAAATAAATAAATAAAACGGTATATATGTGCAAGTTGGGTAAATTTTTTCCTTACAAAAACAAGAGACAATGAAAGCTATATTATTTTATGTAGAAAATTATTCTACTTTTAACGAGCAAACTTCAATTGAACATATCTCTTTATTTTTCCCCTTTGAATTATTGCCAAACTTTCCTTCTATAGTTCTATTGGTTTTATATTCTTTCATTTTTTATTTAGAGGGTAGACCTTGGCATTCTAAAATTACAAGTGGGGCTAAATCTAAAGCCTCCCATTTATAAAAGAACTTTGATGCTACTAGATTATAAAGCTATTGGTTTTACATTCTTTTATTTTTTATTTAAAGGATAGACCTTGGCATTTTAAAATTACAAGTGGGACTAAATCTAAAGCCTCCCATTTATAAAGCTATTGGTTTTATATGTTAATTAGGTAGTCGTTTTTTTTTTCTTTTGCCATTTAATTAGGCAGTCTTTTGACTCAATTTTAATTCGTTCCTGCATTATACGTAATTTTCTGATTTTATCAATGAAACTTCTTTCTTCTAGGAAAAAGAAAATAGGTCCCTTCCCTTTCTTCTTTATAAATCTGTATCGCTGAAAAGTTTGTAAAGTGAGATTTAGAAAAATGAGGCTCATAATGGTGGCTTAATAAGGCGGCTGCTACGCCAACCTTCAACTTTTGACCATTTCAATAATTTTAGGTTCAAAGCACGCGGATTTGAGTTGTCATTCAGACACATGAAAAAAAAAAAGAAAGCATCCCTCATTTTTCATTCAATTTGAATAAAATTAGTTGCATTTGACAGCTTGTTCAATTCATTTATTTCTTCTTTAATACAAATCATGGTAAAAAAAAAAAAACGTGCAAGGAATAACAAGATTGAGGGAGTTTGGCAACCCTTGTAACTTAAAAAAAAATTTCACACAATTTGAGACAACTCTTTTCATGTACTTATCTCAGACTTTGTGAAATTACTTTTAAAAAGCTAATACAAATACCTCATAAGATCAGTAATTGGTAACCTAGGATAAAAACATTCTCATCTTTTTAGGAGGATTTTGGGATACTCTTGTTTCTTTATAAAAAAAATTAAAAGTTAAATTACATTTTTTCACTATTGAAGAACATTCATGTATATTTTTACATTATTTTTTAAGTGACATGTTTGCTAATGTTGGCTGACTTAATAACAGTGATATTTTAACTCCAGTTAAATATATTTATGTGTGCTCTTGCACCCGATGAAACATTATGGTGTTTGGTGTGCATGGGATAGTATTTTATTTTATAAGTAGACTTGCGTCTTTACCCTTAAAAAATCATTAATATTTTGTATAATAAAGAGGAAGGGAATTAATATTAATATTAATATTAATATTAATATTATTTGGGAGGAAACAACCATTGGTCTCCATCAATAAATGATGTGTTAATGAAAGTAGAAGCAATAGTATCATTTAATCTCTGTACATAAGGCGCCCTCATATTCAGATCAGCCCCTGGCCCTGTGCACTTGTATTCTCCATAGAATATTGTCCTGCATCAAATTTCAATTATTATTATTGTCACTCAATATCAAATTTAATTTAATATTTATTTATAACTGTGTATGATTCTTTTCCGGGAAAAAGTGATAATTATAAAATCATCTTTACTTTCTACCTCTATATATGCATGCAAGTCGATTAAAATTATGAGGTTGAATTGCACAGAAGTCTACTAAACTTTTTGGATCATGCGCAAATAATTATCTTAATTTTTAAAACTTAAATTTCTCTGAGCTTTCAAGCATGTGTGGACAGCATCAACCCCTAAACTTTATTTTGTGTGAATATAACCCTCAAATTTTGGTTGCTATGTAGATAACCTCTCTAGATTTTAAGTTGTATGCCGATAAGTAATATACAAAATTAATTATATGGAAGCTCTCTCTATAAATATAGGTGTTTAGGGGTGTTGGCAGGGGAAAAAAAAAGGTATTTCAAAGGCTACAGAGATTGTCTATACTTATAGTTGGCAAAATAAGTAAATAAATATATGCTTATAAGGGGAAAAAAACTTAGGTCAAATTTTTATATCCATTATATCAAGTTTTTAAATCATACATGATAATTTTTTTTATGTGAATTTGTAATTAAATTCTATTAAATACTAATATTTCAAAAATAGGACACATGTTCACATATAATATAAGAAACTTTACGTAAGTATTATCCATTTATATGATCCAAAATTAGGGGATTAGGCATAATTCAATCAAGATATAATGATAAAATAAAAATAAAATTGAAGTGTCCAATTTTCATATTAATGATGTAGATGAGCAGTAAATGCATTTCGCTAGTTTTGAATAGCAAAACTTACTGATCTCTGGAAGGGTCATTGAAGTCGTTCCAACCTTCAGGGGCAATGATATCAGACATTGTCGTAAAGGCAAAAACGACACGAGAGTAAGGACGCCATGCCCGCCCTAACCATATCCTTCCATAGCCTCCTATGCTACAGTTCACAAAAGCGAAGCCCGTGTTTTCGTCGTTTGATGACCTCCCCTGAGCTGTAACGGCGCCGTTTATGAACTTTTGACCCGGGGGTACCGGGTTCGCAATTGACACTAGTTGACAATTCTGTGTAATTATTTATGCCAGAATGAATACCTCAATCACAAAATTACTTCTTTTTGCTTTTATCCCCTTCTAATCAATATCTTGTTTTACACAAGGGGGAGTTGACATTTTGACTTTGTTTAATTGGGATGGACTCAATATATCATCAAATGATTGGTTCAAGATTAGCCACGTCAATCTTGACGTAAGAGTTAAAAAACAAAAAAATAAAGTTTTTACCTACATGCTTATCAAAGATCTATTTACTCCTTCAAGACAAGGTTTTCCGGTAACACGCGTTTTTTTTTTTTTTTTAACTTCTCAATAAGGGGGTTTGTGCAGGTCATATGCACATGTCATATAATCTATTCGATCATAAACATAAGAGTTAATTGATAGCTAGGTTTATTCTAATCTTAAATGTACAACCTCAGCCTTTGTAATATTAAAGGGAGTCCTCAATAATTAAAGGGAGCATTACTTTAACATCTGTAAATCAGTTACTTAACTCTTACGTTTAGGATGGGAGAAAATAAGACAGGAGAATTTGATATTTCAAGAGATGTTAGTGAAGATTACCTCATAGAGAGACCTTGCATTGCCGAAGATGAAATCAATGGAGCCCTGGATATAGCAATCCCCAAAGTAATGGCGACCCCTATCATCATGAAGAGTATCTTGTGCTCCAAAAAACCCACATCCCCAGAACTGAGCCTGATCACCCCCTACTCTTATTGCCACTGCTTGTGCTCCTTCCACCCCAGGACCTGGAATTGGCGCCACGTTCTGCAAGTTTTTTTTTTTTTTTTTAAACCAAAGTTAAGGGCTTAACTAATTAATCAGTTATTAGGCTTCGTGAAAACAAAGGTTGTCATGGAAAGTACCATGAAGCTTATGTTTTTGGCAATGAAGTTGGAGGCGAAGACTTGGACGGAGCCACTATAGAATGTGCCGTTTGCTGACTTGGCTGTGTCGTTCCATGCAATTGCCGTTGAAGTGTAGCCTTGTCCTTCAAATGTGATGTTTGGTTTGCTTCTTGGCACCATCACTTTCTCACTATTCAAAACATATAAACATTAATATATTAATACGTATATTGATTAGTTGGGCAAGTAAAGATAATCTTGTTGAACAAACTTACTAATAAAGGCCACTATTAATCCATATGACGTTTCTTTTATCGCTGAAATCTGGGACAGCATTTACAGCTGCTTGCACGGTGGTGAAATTGCAGCACCCTCGTCGATCCACACACAGATACGTCGTCGTATTGGTATTCGGCGGCGGAATTCCCGGTGGAAAATCATCACATATGTTGCCAGTTATCTCACCGCTGCTGCTATTATCAGGTCGTTTCTTGTGGGAATGATGGTGGTGGTGGTGGTGGTGGTGGTGACCACGATTTAAAGAGAAAGACGACCATAACTCACCCAGAAACGATTGCTCGTTTTGATTAGTCTCATGTACGACAATAAAATATGCAAAAACAGCAATAATAGGAATCACCAACTCAGCTATGGAGTTTCTATGCAGAAACATTTTCTAAGTCTATAGATGAGGATGAAGATGAATGAAGTTGAGAAATTATATGTGTGTGTGTATATATATGAGTCTGAGAGAGAGCAAGTGGTATATGAACTTGAAGTGAAAGGGTTGATGGCATGTCTTGCAAAGGACATGACTAGTATTGTAACTTTAAAGCATTTATATACGTTTATTCATTTGCATTTGTTATTTTCTCCAATCCATACATATAAATGATTAAACTAGCTTTTCTGGGTTTGAGACATATGAAGTACTTAACATGTACCGTATGTATTAGCCTATGAATGAAATGTTTTCATAATGGGTAGTTGGTAGTTAGTTACTTCAAAGTTATCTGTATATCCTAGTCCTTTTTCAATAAGAAAACATTATATGTTCTTTTCCTGTAAAAAGTAGGTGGTATTTCTCTAAACAATCATAACTATAGCAAATACCTGACCTTGTCAAAAATAATAAATTAAAACTTTAAATCTAGACTATCTTTATCTAAATATACATGAGTAACATAACCTCTAGAAATTTAGGTTTTGTGTAAATAGTCTTCTTGACATTTTAAACTTTACAATCAGCCTTCATCAATTTTTACATATATCTGTTACTTCACTAAAATAATATAATATGATAGGAGTATCCATACAAAACTAAAAGTTTGAAGGAGTTAATTGCCAAAAAAAAAAGAAAGAAAGAAAGAAAACGAAAGTTAAATGGGATATTTACCCAATAACAAAGTATTATGCTTTTTTTTTTCAGTGAATAATAACATATTATGCTTTGCTAGTAAAATAACAGAATAATTTATGGTAAGTGGTTAACTGCACAGACTTAAAAATATATGAATTTTTTTGTCAAGTTTTAAGTATTATGATGATTATTTTTATACGGGACAAAGTTGAGAGGAGTTTGGTATAATTTAGCCTCCAATTTAGGCAGTACAAAGCTCAACATTGTGATAGGCACAGAAATAAAATCAGCACTAAACTTATTATTATAGCCTATGCACAGATAAAGAGAGAACAGAGAGCCTAATTCAAGTAAATCATGTAGCATGCCTCCAAAAGTTGAAACAAAATCCTCATTGCCCAGTTATATAGACCCTCCATTGCTTGTAGGAAATTCAGTTACATAGACGACGAACTTTAGTCTAACCTTTGGAGAATCAAGCTTCCTTTTAAATTCATTTTTCTCTGTTGGGAATTTCTGAATAAGGCTCTGCCTTCTCATGATGGTCTTACTAAGCATAATTCATCTAACAGTAATTTATGCCTTTGGATGTCCTAAATATGAATCTTCAGAGCACATCTTCACTTGTGATTATGTTAAGGCAATCTGGCCTGGTACACTTTCTATCAAATCTATTGTTATAGCTAATCAAGCTTTTTATTTTATTTTATTTTAAAGAAGTGGGTATTTAATTTGATTAGAGATTACAATCAAGACTTCAATAAGCACATAGTCTGAGCATTTATCATCATCCTTAGCCCTTAAAGGAAAAAAACAGTACGAAGCTATATACATGCTTAGCCCTTTTCTAAGTTTCGATTTGGAAAAAAAAAAAAAAACTGAAAGCAACTTATAAACGAAAACAGAGGGAGTATTCCCTTAAACGCACAGGAAGATTGCCAATTTGAAGTTTTCTGGTCAATCAGGAATAGGAGGAAAAGGGGTAAAAAAAACCTTAATGTTTAATCTTTATCAAATGAGGTTCTATAATCATAGAAAAGATCAACTTCCAAAAGCCAATAGAGTTGCAAACCTCCATATTCTTTGTTGCATGCTTTCGATCTTCACTCTCATGGTTTGTAAGCTTCATCTCCAGCTAGCTATAATGCAGGAGGTCTGATTCTTCGTCTTCGTCTGCTTCAGAATTATTTGGTAAATGGAAGCACGTTATGGAAGAGATTTGCAGATTCATTGCTTGTGCAAAGAGCGTAGATGATGCTGGTAGAGAGATCCTGATTCAGATGTGCTACCAGCAATGATGTGTTACTGTACTAATTCATTTAGGGCAAAAAAATTATTTGAAAAGAGTATTTAGTAGGCAATAGAATTCGAAACAGATGAAAAAGGACACTAACCCTATTGCATTAAGCAAAACCAGTGAGATTCAGATTACTTTACTCTGTGCTAGATATATACTTTCATTCTAATTTGCTTACAGCAAGACCAGACTTTAAGCTCTATCCTTCGCATATAGATTTTATGGTATACATATTGATGATTAACTTGGCAACTACACATACTTACAACCCGAATCTATATTAACCAATAACTCATGAGTTTGCATATTTGTTCAGATATATTCTATTTCATATCATGTGTATATTCAAAAGCATCCCGAAGTAAAACCAACCACATTGCATTTGAAATGATGGAATCTGATTTCTTATCGCATTCTCAAAGGAATCAATCAATCCACTGCCAATGCTTCCATCACATATGCTAATGAATGTTCCCTACTCAAGAATATATAGCAAAGGGTGATTAAAAAAAATATAAAGACGCACTTAACAAACGAAGAATCTAGATTACTTGGAAATATATGCAATACGTGTTCAAACTATGTACCCAAACTGGACAGAAGTTAAAGTATTTTTCCTTCATATCTATATGAAGCAGGTCAAGCTAACATCCCTTCTACACCATCAGAGTCAGGATTAGTGCAGAACAGACAAAACGAGTCATACACATCAAGGAATGTGCAAACAACGAAGTCAAAACACTATCTCCGCTTCTCCATTAACAAACCTCGCCAAGGACTTCAATACATCCTTCCAGTACACCCCAAAGAGCCACAATAGCAATCCTTCTTCTTTATATTGCCATCAGAATCGAAGATTTGATCTTTAGAGTAATTGTAATCATAAGTCAGCTCTTTTAACGGAGAAATGTTCTCAGCAGCAAACAGCATTATGTGAGGAATCTTGCGGTCACCATGATCATACAGAACATTTTGTGCATACATGTTAGGGGCGCAACTGTGGTTGAAAAATCTGCCCAAATTACCATACCTAGCTGCATCAATGGTAAAACCACCACCATCCCTAGAGACTTCAGGCATGAAGACTCCATCAGAAAGTATACCATTACTGATCAAATTATTACCTATATCAAAGAGATACTCATCATGACCAGTTCTTTGTTCAGCTTCCTTGTCTTCAAGCAACTCTCCTATGTATTCGCATACAAAACTGCCAGAAGGAATGGAGCGTAGAGATCTCACACCCCATCCCCTTTTGTCAGTTTTATAAACTTCAAGCGGGAATTTTATTCCACGTTGGCTGACTCTGTTATAGCAATCTGGAGGGCATTTGCAAGAAGGGCCACACTCATACACCAGAGGCTTTACTTCTACAATACACCCTGTGTGATTGAATGGGATTCCTCCATTTTTAACAGCACAAGAACATCTTGTCGGGTCAGAGCATCTGTCCGTACAGTTACATCCCTTAGCAGGCGTCGGATGCAACCAATCAGGATAGATCATCCTAGTGATATATTCAAATGGTGGTGGTCTTTCATCATCTATGGTATTTACAGCACGAATTGGCAGTCCCTCCTTACCATGTGAGATGTCAATGACACATAAACCCTTCCTTAATGTGAACTTTTTGGAATTCTTCAGTTCAATCCAAGGAAGCTCTGGTTGGTTTGGGATTCTTTGCAGCTGAAACTTGAAAACCATCTTGCCATGTGGCCCCCTTTCTTGCCAATATGTCTCAACTTCATACAACCCATCATACACATATCTCTTACGACTTTCATCTCCAAAGAAAGCACCACGGGTCACCCTGACAGGATTTTTTTCCTTGCTACTGTTCTTCAAAGCAAGATTCCCCCGCTCAAGCTTCTGGTCTTCAGGCTTTTTCTTGCTGTGCATCACATTCCCCCCATGCCCCGAATAAATCAAGACACCTGAATTATCCAACTCATCGTCGTACCCCCCAGATGCAACAATACTAGCAGCAAGGAGCACACCATTGTGCATTCCATAGTCTATGCCAGCCTGTAAATTGCGATGAAGACTGACGAGATTAAGCTCCACTCTGTAGTCGAACTCATCACCTATTTCAACCCCAGGGACAGAACCAAAGATCAGCCTGCCAGCATTAACATATTTGCCTTCCTTTTTAAGAATCTTAGCTGCCTCTAAATCGATCCTCCTACGAATCTTTCCTTGGCCTTTGAACTTTGCTTCTTCTTCTTGCAACAATTTTCTACAAACTGCTTGGAACCAGCGCATTATCTCCCTTACAGTATTTCGGGAGTAACTGTGGTCACTGCTCAAATTACCACGACGCAGAAGTGGAACATTTACATTATAGACATCAGAACATTTTCCATCCATACCTCCAGAAGAAGCATTTCCTTCTGTCTTTTTCACAAGCATCATCCCGGAATGATTCAGAGACTTTCTAGGCGTCATCACAGCTTTAGACCCATCACCTTGTGCAAGGCAATTAAATTTTCTCTTCATTTCTTCAGCACCACCGCCCAAATGTCCGTCCATGAGCTTGTCCTCGCAAACACCCTTACTCCGACTCAGAAAATTAGGTCCGCATAAAGCAGGGTAGTCTCTAATGGCTGAAACTTTTCTTGCTGGAAACCTTCTTGCCCCAGCCTTCTGCAAATAATCACCCGAACTAGCAGTAACTTTAGGAGTGACACGGCCTGTTGATGTAGTCCGACCAATCCCAGGCGGGTAATCACGTATTGCAGATGGCTTCGTAAGCATTTTTTCTTCATCCTGACAATCAAGAACTGATGTCGATGCAGCCATTGGAAGTGTCTTGTGACTTTTGAACAAGAAGCTCCACTAACCAAAACACCAAATTCACAACCTCCCTGCCTTTCAGTCTGCCTCCGTATACAAGAACCTGTGCAAGCAAATCAGCAATGGTTGAAAGCGGAAAAGAGCAAAGCAAAACACTAAAAATAGAGAAAACGAAGATCCGTTCATCATTTCGACAGCATAAAAGAGCTAAGAAAAACACTAAAAGTAGAGAAAACGAAGAGCCATTCATCATTTCGACATTTGGATAAAGGCATTTTTCATTTCAAAGAGAGTTCAAATATGATACTGGAATTTCCGAGCAATGCAATAAAGGAAAAGAAAGAATAGCGAAGAAAAGTGGAAGCTCAGGGGAGAAGAAGAGTCACCTGAAAGGCTGGAACATTCAGTGTAAAGAGCGTGATTATGGCTTGAAATGAAGTGGAGGGCCGTTGGCTTGGGAGTGAAGACTGAAGTAAGCGCAGAAAATGACGAGCATGAATGTGAGTGGGTGCCTCCAGCGGTTATTATCATTATTATTATTATTATTGACGAGCATGCCTCCAGTGATTTTATAATAATAATAATAATAATAATATACTCTCCTTCTGCTCTTATGCCTCTTTTAAATAATCCGTGGAATTAAGAAAATACTAGTTGAGATGATTATTTTTATTTAATATATATACATACACATATAATTTATGACACTTTTTTTAAAAAAAGGGTAGAATTTAGGTGCATTTACTTATATTTATTACATCTCATTTTTCAATAAAAAATTTCCATGTATGATTCTTGTTATTAGTAATGGTTTAATTTCTGGTAAAAAAAAGAAGTAATGGTTTAATAGAATTGCGACATTTTATCCCTTTGAAGTTATTTTATTTAAAAAAATCTATGTGCTAAGATTTGATCACAGAATTAGATTATAAAGCCATTGCCACAATTTTTTTTTATTTACAAATAAAATTGAACCTACCATCCCTCACATAAAGAGTTTTTATATTAGTAGATTATAAAGTTATTGGGAAATTTTTACCTTTTGGGTTGATAAACAAAGAAACTGTCCACAGGAAGGCAATTGTTGATAGAATGTTTAGAGTAAGAAATTTCTATGAATTAAATATTTTTGAAAATCTCATAGAGAATAAAATTAATTCTCTAATTTAGTGGCAGATCTTACAATATATATTATTGTTATTATTTTCTTAATTCCCTTATCCCCAATGAATTTTTTGGAGTATAATTCCAAAATAAACTTGAAGATATAGAAAGTTTATTGTATTTAAAACTACCAATATATAGGGAATAATCACCTAATAATAATCAGGAAAATTTTCTCAGCATCACAGGGTATTTATTTGACCCCCTAATTTTATCTTCTTCTTTTTTTATCTATTTTTTATTTTTATTTAAATTATTTGGACAAAATACGGTGGCCACTAGCCAGTGTCCGCGAATATAATTACAGAGAAAATATAGGGGGAGGATAATAAGAAATTGAGATTTGAGAGGATGTCACAAATAAAAAATATATATCTCTACTTCAATAATCCGAATTTTTTAAAAATAAAATTCAAAATTTTTTAAGCAAAAAAAATTGAAATCGAAAACTTTGTGAAAATAAATTCTAGTCCAGCCTTTAGTAATTTAGTTACATAATTAGTACTTATTTATAAATTAAAATAAACCACTTAAAATTCAAAAATGAAAATATCGTAGGAAAAAGAAGAAGACAAAATATATTAGGATAAATTAATTTCTTATTTTTAGGTGGAGGGGAGTCAAGGCTAACCCAAACCGAAAACACAACCGAACTTTTGGATACGGTTTTCATCTGATAAATATTTGATGTTCAGTTTTCTGTTGGTTCATTAAAAGCATTCTGATTAAACATCCAACAATCATACTTTTACTTAAGGGTTAATATAATACTCCTCCAGTTTTTAATTTAAGACCTATTTAACTAATTTAATTATATTAAGAAAATTAGGTAAATTAGTTAATTATAAGAAATATGACATGTTTTTCCTAAAGCGTCATAATCATCTTTCTTAATATCTTTCCTTCCTCACTTACTTGATTATGGTTGAGGAAGTATCCATAAGAGTAATTTAAAAAAATTGATAAATATGATAAATATGTCTTATATTTATGACCAAAATTAACATAACAATTAGATTCTATATTAAGGACCGAACGAGTATAATTTTTTCTCTATTAAATTTGTCTTTATTTTAGTTTTGGTTCCTTAAGTTTCAAACCATAGGTTTTTTATCTTTCAAGTTTTTTTTTATTTAAAATATTAGTCCTTATAATTTAATAAAGATTTAGACTATTTTGTCTCTCGAGAGATCAAAACTTATAGCTTGAAACTTAAAAGACTAAAATCAAAATAAGAGCAAAAGGAACCAAAAATTGTATTAACCATTTATTTGTGGGGGAAAAAAAGTCCCGTTGTATTTTTGAGAAGCAAATCATACTTTACGAAAAAATTACGAAAAAAAATTGAGAGTGGAAAAAGGGAAAGATGTCTTTTGTCCCGGTCCAAAAGAAAAATTTCAATAAAATGATAGTTTAATTCGCAAAACTCTAAATGATCATCTGAATTGCAAAATTTCAAATTAGTCTTAATAATTAAATTAGAATTTTGAAATATTAGTGAATTTACAATGTTGTCTTAAATTTATTTATTTTTTTTGGAAAAAACCCTCAAGTCACCTTCACTGGCCAATCGGCCACAAGCACTGGAAGTCAAGTGGCCAGAAACTCTGGTGGCTAATCGACGATTGTTCACTGGAGCTCTAACAACCGGTAATTATTATTTGGGATTTTTTTCAACTTTTACAATGTGATTAACAACTTTTATAATAATATTTGTAACTCCATTAATACCATTAGCCAACATGTTTTCCAGTTTATTAAATTGGGGTTTTTTAAACATTTGTAATGTGATTAACAAATTTTGTAATAATATTCATGACTTTATCAACGTCATTAATCACAATGTTTTAAGGTTTTTGAGCTTGGATTTTCTTTCAACATTTATAACGTGATTATTATTAAAAAATTTTATAACGATATTCACAATTCTATTAGAATCATTAGCCACTTTACATGATAAGTTTTTAAACTTGAAGAAATTAGGGGAATATAAACCATGTTAAGCTCTTATACACTTGATATGCATTTATTTATTAAATTAAAATATTTACGATTAAATTAATAATATTAATTTAAAAACCTATCACATAAAGTGGTTCATAGCATTAATAAAGTTCTGAATATTGTTATAAGAGTTGTCAATAATGTTATGAAGGTTGAAAAAATCTCAGTTTAAAAACCTATAAAAAGCATGGTTAATGACATTAATGAAATTGTAAATATTATTATAAGAGTTGTTAATCATGTTATGAATGTTAAAAAAAAATCCCAATTTAATAACCTTAAAAATATATAGTTAATCGCGTTAATAAAATTATGAATATTATTACAAAAATTGTTAATCGCGTTAGCATGTTGCTCGAGCTTCAGACCTTCAGTGACTGACAACCACTTGAACTCTGATGGTAGTTGCCAATGCTGGAACTCGAGTGGCTGGCTGCTCGGTGAGTATGGCTTAGCCTTTAAAAAAGGCAACATTATAAATTCAACAACATTTTAATATTTCAATTTAGTCATTATGACTTATTTGAAATTTTGCAAGTTCATATAACTATTTAGGGTTTTACAAATATAGCCATTATTTGATTGGAATTTACCCAAAAACTTATGCTTGTGTCTCTCCCCCACACATTACATTTTAGCTTCTTGAAAACATGGCTTGTCCTACAACGCTCCAGCAGTTGGCTAGCTGATGAGTGTGGTTTAAGCATTTAAGAAAAAAATTAAAAGGTATATTATAAATTTATCAACATTTCAAAATTTTAATTTAGTCATTATGACTGATTGGGAATTTTGCAAATTGTGATTACTGAGGCTTTACAAATTCAACTATCATTTTATTGAAAATTTTCCAAAAACCTGTGTTTATGTCTCTGCCCCACACACATTAAAACATGGTTTGTTCTACAACGGCCATAATAGATGATTGGATCAGTAGTTCCATAATTTGGCATCTAATTTGGTTTGTTTGAATCCATATTATTAAAATTTATAACTTTTTCCAAATGTTGCAAAGAAATTAACAGTTATATTGATTAACTTGCTAGTTATGCTCATAATATGCGTACAAATTACTATATTTATATATGAGCATTCTTATTATTATAGGAATGGTTAATATAATTTTTAGTTCCTCAAGTTTCAAACCATAGGTTTTGCTCCCTCACAGGATAAAATGTCTAAATTTTTATTGAATTACAGGGACTAATGTTTTAAAGAAAACAAAAAAAAAACTTAAAAGACTAAAACTTATTGTTTAAAATTTAAAAGACTAAGATTATATGAAGAATATGATCATACTATTGGTAATGTCATCACCATTGCAATGACGGAGAAAAAGTTATCTTTGGTATCACATATAAAATAGTAAGCCGAATTGCTTAATCAAAATATTCACAATTCACTCAACCTTGGATCACGACTTTGAACTGGTATCATTAATTAGGAAGTCAAATCAATTTTATGGAGCCTCCAAATCAAGAGAACTAGAAACAGAAGAAAAAAGACATTAATCCTGTTTTGGGTCCATGAGTAATATAAAATTTTATACATATTAGCTTGGGAATTATATTCTTAGAAACAAGGAACAAAAAAAAAAAAAAACAGATCAGACACTAAACCAGTTGAAGTAGTGGTTCAAGGATCAGTTGGTCTAACTGGAGTCAACTCGGGATCAAACCGATCATATTAAAATAATATAATTTAATTGAAATAACAACATACAACAACATTAATATTCACTAATAATAAAATATAAGAAAATATAACAATAATTTGATTGTAACAATAACAATGTTCAACAACATTGAGAATTTTGATCTTTACGATTCATCAATAACTAAAATTAATAATCATTAATAACAAAAGCATTGCTAAAATTCATTCAAATCTATATTGACTAAAATATTAAGAGCTGAATGAAAAAAAATAAAACCAATAGCAACATAATCATTCAAATTGGTTCACACCGGTTTTTATCAGTTTACCCTGATTTGACCGGTTCGATACAGTTCAACTCCTAATCAGTTCCATGCCTAAACCAAGCCACTGGGTGGTTGTTGTTCAGTTAAACTGGCCGGTTCAATCTGCTCTTTCGTTCCTTGCTTAGAACAAAATTAGTATCAGTAACACGAGTTTGCGGATTCGCCCAGATCAATTCTATCTCATAACGTGTAATATTTTTCTCAAAAGATTACGAAAGTAAAACTAGTAAAAGCTGTAACACCTTGCATTCGACATGATGGATAAGGAATCAATCAATCCACAGAAAATGTTTCCATCACCTAAGCCATGAATGTTCCCTCCCTATCAAGAACGCGTGTAGCAAAGGGAAGTAAAACATATAAAAACACTATATCACCAGAGCCAGGATAGAAGGACACTCTTACCAACTGAAGGATCTAGATTACTTGGCAAAATATACATTAAGTGTTCAAACTGCATACCAAAACTAAACTGACTGAAGTTAAAAGTGTTTTTCCTTCACATCTACATGAGGCAGATCAAGCTGACGTGCCTTCCACACCATCAGAGTCAGGATTAGTGCAGAACAAAAAAAACAAGTCATACACATCAAGGAATGTGTAAAGAAAAAAATCAAGATCTTCTCCATTAACAAACCTCCAAGGTGCTCAATACATCCTTCCAGTACAACCCACGGAGCCACAAAAGCAATCCTTCTTCTTTATGTTGCCATCCGAATCGAGGATTAGATCTTTTGAGTAATTGTAATCATAAGTCAGCTCTTTTAATGGAGGAATGTTCTCAGCAGCAAACAGCATTATGTGGGGAATCCTGCAGTCGCCATGATCAAAAAGAACATTTTGTGCATACATATTGGGGGCGCAACTATGGTTGAAAAATCTGCCCAGATTACCACACCGAGCTGCATCAATGGTGAAGCCGCTGCCATCCTCAGAGACTGCAGGCATGGAGACTCCATCAGAAAGTATACCGTTATTGATCAAGTTTCTACCTATATCAAAAAGATACTCATCATGACCAGTTCTTTGTTCAGCTACCTTGTCTTCAAGCAACTCTCCTATGTATTCGCATACAAAACTGCCAGAAGGAATGGAGCGTAGAGATCTCACACCCCATCCCCTTTTGTCAGTTTTATAAATTTCAAGTGGCAATTTTATTCCACGTTGGCTGACTCTGTTATAGCAATCTGGAGGGCATTTGCAAGAAGGGCCACACTCATACACCAGAGGCTTTACTTCTACAATACAACCTGTGTGATTGAATGGGATTCCTCCATTTTTAACAGCACAAGAACATCTTGTCGGGTCAGAGCATCTGTCTGTACAGTTACATCCCTTAGCAGGTGTCAGATGCAACCAATTAGGATAGATCATCCGAGTAATATATTCAAATGATGGAGGTTTTTCATTATCTATGGTATTCACAGCACGAATTGGTAATTCCTCTTTACCATGTGAGATGTCAACAGCACACTGGCCTTTCTTTAATGTGAACATGTTGGATTTCTTCAGTTCAATCCAAGGAAGCTCTGGTTGATTTGGGATTCTTCGCAGCTGAAACTTGAAAACCATCTTGCCATGTGGCCCCATTTCTTGCCAATATGCCTCGACTTCATACAATCCATCATACACAAATCTCCTATGATTTCCGTCTTCAAAGAAAGCACCACGTATCACTCTAACAGGGTTCTTTTTCTTGCTACTGTTCTTCAAAGCAAGATTACCCCTCTCAAGCTTCTGGTCTTCAGGTTGTTTCTTACTGCACATCACATTCCCTCCTTGCCCTGAATAAATCAAAACACCTGAGTTATCCAACTCGTCATGGTATCCCCCAGATGCAACAATACTAGTTGCAAGGTGCTCACCGTTGATCTTCGCAAAATCTATGCCAGCTTGTGTTTGGCGATGGAGACCAACAATATTAAGCTCCACCCTATAATCAAATTCGTCACCTACTTCAACCCCAGGGACAGGACCAAAGATCTGCTTGCCTGCATTCACATATTTTCCTTCATATCTGAGGATCTTTGCTGCATCTGAATCAACCCTCTTACGAACTTTTGCTTGGCCTTTTGACTCTGCTTCTAGTTTTTGCAACAATTTCCTACAAAGAGCTTGAAACAAGCGCAGTGTCTCTCTTACAGTATTTCGTGTCACAGTTGCGTCATTGTTGCGAATACTCAAATTACGACGATGCAGAAGTGGAACATTTACACCATATGATCTATGGCCATCAGAAAATTTTCTACCATAATTGTTATCAAGACAATTTTTTCCTAAAACCGCAAGTGTAGCCATACCACCAGGAGCAGCATGTCCTTCTTTCTTTTTCAAAACCTTTATCTTGGAATGATTCAGAGAGTCTTTAGTCCTCAACACAGCTTTAGACCCATCACCCCCTGTGAGGCAATCAAGTTTTCTCTTCTTTTCTTCTGTAGCACCACTCAAATGCCTGTCCATGAGCTTGCCCTTGGAAACATCGCCCTTACTCAGACTCAGAGAATTAGGTCCACAAAATGGAGGATAGTCTCTAATGGCTGAAATAAATCTTCTAGTTGCAGCGTTCTGTGAATAATCACTCGAACTGGCCGTTTTCACATATGGAGACAATTCAGGACCCATCGACATTTTCTCAGTTGTCTCAATAGGAGTTGAACTCAAGAACTTAGAGTATCGAGGATTAACTTCACCATCCTTCTCAAAAAGTACAACCTTTGCAGTACCTTCTCTAGGAGTAACATGGATTCTTGCTGTATTCCGTCCTATCCCAGGTGGGTAATCACGAATTGCAAATGGCTTCCTAACCATTGTTTCTTCAGGCTATCAAAGACTGACGTAGGCACTGGAAGTACAACTTATGTCTTCTGATCTGTGAACAAGGAGCTCAAAGAATCACATCCCCGTTTCCTATCAGTCCCAACAATTTATGTCTTCTTCATAAACTAGAAACCGTCCAAGCAAATCAACAATGGAGAACCAAAAAAAAAAAAAAAACAGAGAGCAAAGCAAAAATATAAAAAACAGAAAACGAAAACCCACTCATTAAAATTTGGTGAGACAGACTCAATACTTCAATGAAGACAGTCTTCATTGAAAGAGTTGAAATGTCATACCAAAATTTCTGAGAAACCTGATTAATTTAGCAGCCCAGCAAAAGAAAACAAGAAAAACAAGGGGAAAAAGTAGTTCAAGGGGGAAGAAGGGTCACTGGAAACATTAATGCGAATATGGATATAACAGACTGCCTATTTCATGATGCACTGAAATTATGCCCTCTTAATATCTTATTCAACTTCATAATTTTTCCATCTAAAAACCCCTCTCCTAAGCCACTCAAACTTAGAACTAAGCCTTCTATCCCATAATTAAAGTTAGCGAAACCAACAAACAGTTATAAGCCCGAGCAGAGAGGTTTGTTATCTCTTTGCAAGGCTGTAGTAGAATACTAAAAGATCAAAGCTCATTCATGAATCATGGGTCTCATACGAAGCCTACGAATCAAAGGGGCAAGACAAAAATATAGCCAGACTTCAAAACTATGTGTAACAGTGCCACCGACACCAAAACAAACTTCAGAAAACAATCAGCCTGAAAGAGAAGGGGCAGGGTTCAACAAAATTTAGAATAGGAACAAAAAAGGATTACCGGAAACTTAAAAGGCAGAAACCACAACAACGAAGAACCCAGGAATTCCTAAAATCTGGAGATGCAGAGGGGGGTGTGAAAGATTTCGGTTTTGGTTTTTCTAGAGTATCTTTCCGGACTAGCTTGATCAGAAGCACGTAATGTGGCCTATATGTGAGAGAAGGCTTTCTAGCCAGTACTTTGAACTTCCATCGATGACTCCATAACCAACTCGGAATGGCTATCAAGGCTTAATGTAGCCATTGGAAGTACCATTTATGTCTTCCGTGTGAACAAGAAACTCTAAGAATCACAATACGAACTTCAAAAACTGATTTCTTAACAGTCCGTACAGTCCGTGTCTTCTCTGCAACCAAGAAACCCCCCAAGCAAGTCAACAATGGGAAACAAGAAAGCATAAAAGAACTAAAAGAAATACCAAAAATAGAAAAAAGAAGAACCATTTATCAAAGTTAACTAAAAACGGACTCAACATTTCTATAAAAAACATGATGCATTTAACGAAAGTTGAAATATCACACTGAAAATTTCAAGCAACCCAATTGATTTAGGGAACACGCAAAAAGAAAAGAAAGAAAAGCGAAAAATGGGTGATCAAGAGGAGGACGAGGAGGAGGACGAAGAAGAAGAAGAAGAGTCACCCGAAGCATTCAACGAGAAATGCAGAGTAAGATGGCGGTTGCAGTGCAGGGTGACGGAGAAGCAGACGACGACAAACAAGCAGCATGAAATGTGAATGCATTTTTTTTATTCTATTTTTATATGTTGGCAAAATAAAAAAGTCTTTTCCATAATAAATAATAAAATAACAATAAATTCATAACTGGGTTATATATATAAAACTGAGTATATATATAAAATATAACCTTGAAACGTTTTTGCTAGACACACACACACACACACCCCACGTGGACACGTAAGTTATAACTGTAATTAGATCCTTGAGTCGTGCCAATATTTCATATATTTAGCCTTAATTACGACAATTTTTTTCAGAAAAATTATAGTATTAGAAAATAAAAAATGGGTAATATTTATAAAAAATTTTAAAAAACCTCTTGAATTTCAAAATTATAAGTCAATTTTGTTCACTATAATTTAGTAGCAATTTAGAAAAATAAATAACAACATATTTTTGTAATAATTTTTAATTTGAGATTTTAAATTTAAAAGTTTCTTTTTATTTTTCCTATTTAAAATGTAAAGCATCCTGTCTCTTTCATATTTTATCTTTCTCTAACTATTGAATGTTGAAATTGAATTGAAATTTTAAAAGTTCTTTACTTATTTGGGTTTAAGAAACATTAATAATATTCTTATTCTTATCCCTTCATTAATTAATCACATCCTCATCAATTTATCAATTTATTACTATTTTTTCTAATTATGTTCTTATCAGTCCATTAATGATATGGCTATATATGGGTCTAAATTCAGCCTGTACTGTGAAAGAGTTTATACTTTTCTTTCTTTTGGATCAAAGTCTACACTTTTCTTTTTATTACTAATTACTAATATGCCATATGCATCTTCTTTTACCTTTTATATATATTTTTTCTAATAATAGAAAGAGCGGTGGGGACCAAATCAAAATTTGAATAGAGGAAGGAAGAAAGAAAGTGAATGAGAACAAAAGAGAGGGGAGAGAAAATATAAAAAGAAATAACTTTAAAATAAAGATTTGTTTTGTGCTATAATTTTAAAATTATATTGTAATTACTATATTTATGTTTTATATTTGATATCTTCACCAATATAGATTAAAGCCTCTCTTTTTTAGATTTTTTTCACAGACTATTCGGGTAGGTCATCCAAAACCCTTCTTTCTGTTCATTGTATGGGGAAGCAGTTCATAAAAATGCCAAAGTTGGATTCAAGACCTTCAACCATCCCTTGACAGAAAATCCTATATCTCTTATCTAAGTTTTTTTCCCTTCAATATTAATGTTATTTCTAAAGGCTCTTTTTTAAAATTTAATTCTTGTAATGTAAGTTATCTTACTTATTGTAAGTTGTAACTCTTGTTATTTTTAATATATACTACTTCCGATTCTAATTATAAGACTTTATTTGTAGTTTATAAACAAAGTCTTATAATTAAGACCGAAAGTAGTATCATTTTGTCATGGTAAAAGAAAAAAGGCGAGGACAAGAAATACTGAAATAGGAATATATTGTCCTCTTGTAATCTTACATCTAAACATGTAAATGTTTATGTAATTATGGATATTGCATCCATAAACCTCTATAAATAAATATACAGTATTTTTAGTTATTATACTTACTACCTCTAATTTTAAATGTAGGAGTTGGTATACATATTAAGAAAATTAGTTAAATTATTGATAAAAATTATATTAGTTTTCTTAAATACTCATTTTAATAATTTACATTAAGAATTGTCTTATTATTATTATATATAATCAGTTGAGAGAGTTTGTGAGAATAAAAGAGGCTTAAACCCGCTCCAAATCCTTATAACCTAATCAAATTTAGTTTATGATCCTTATACTTAACGATGTTAACTTAGTTGATTTGACATTAACATTGTTAACACGAAATAAATACCCTATAACTTGTCTAAATTTGAAAAAAAGTTTCCAATAACATAATTGTTGAAGTAGGGCAGCATCTGAGAAAGTTAGTAAAAGTTTCCCAAAAGTAAAAACTACATATTTAAGATCATTAAAATCAAAACGAGAAGAAATTTAAAAAATAAAAAATCGTATTAAACTAAAAAAGAATATAACATTAACACATAACTAGACACGCTTTCCGTTTAGTCTAACTATAGTTAAATACGTGACTCGTACCAATATTTATATATTTAGCCAAAATAATTACAAATTTTTTCTCAAAAATTATAGAATTAGAGGATAAAACAGGGTAATATTTAAAATGTAAAACACCCTATCCCTTTTCATTTTTTATCTTTCTCTATTTATTAAATGTTGAAATTGTCAGAGTTTTCTTTACTTATTTGGGTTTAGGAATAACTAATGATATTCTTTGTCTTATCCCTTCATTAATTAATTACATCCTTATCAATTTATCAATTTATTGCTAATTTTTTTCTAGTTATATGTTTTTATCGGTTTATTAATGATATGGCTATATATGGGTCTGAATTCAGTCTATATTTTGAATGAGTCTATACTTTTCTTTCTTCCTTTTTGTTGAAAGTCTGCACTTTTCTTTCTATTACTAATATACCGTATGCATCTTCTTTTACTTTTTATATATACATATATATATATATATATATATTCTAATAATAGAAAGAGGGGTGGGGTTCTAATCCAAATTTGAATAGAGGGAGGAAGAAAGAAAGTGAATGAGAACCAAAAAAAAAAAAAGGAGAGAAAATATATTATTATATTTATGTTTTATATTTGATGGATATCTTCCTCAATATAGAATAGACAAAGACAAAAAAATAATAATAATATCTTGTCCTCTTGTAATATCACATCTAAACATGTGATGTAGTTTTTGGGGCAAGAAAACACGTGATGTAGTTTCGAATGTTTACGTAATTATGGATATTACACCCTTAGACCTCTATAAATAAATATTGAGTTCTTTTAGTTATTACTTACTACCTCTAATTTTAAATGTAAAAGCTGGTATATATATTAATAAAATTAGTTAATTACTTATAAAAATGTATATTAGTTTTCTAAAATACTCGTTTTAATAATTTAAATTTAAATTATGTTATTACTATATGCAATCAATAGACTTAGTTTATGGGGGAAAAAAGGCGTTAAACCCACTTTAAATCCTCATGACTTGATCAAATTTAGTTTATGATCCTTATTTCTTCCAACACATTGGCTCCTCTATTCTCCTCTATTTTCACAAGGACCTCAACCTAGGCTTGACAATGTTAACTTTGTTGATCTGGGATTAACACTATTAATGCTACTACCACGAAATAGCCAACCTATAACTTGTCTAAATTTGGAGGGGAAAAGAATTCAAATAACACAATATAGAAGTTATAGCCATCGTTGAAGTAGGGTAGTATCTAAAAGAGAGTTAGTGAAAGCTTACCTAAGAAAAAGCTCAGAGAACCTTAGAATTATAAAAAGAAGATAGAAAGTTCAATCTATTACATGAGGGAGCCATTACCATGAATTTGCCTTTATTTTTCTTTCTTA